GTTCTAGGGGTCAGGCCAATCATTGGGCCACAGTGAAATCTAGCTAGTGAAAAGGTGGCAAGCTGGAGGATGTCTAAGGAAAAACAAGTGACATGTTGAAGTTTTGGCAGAATGGTCTTTTATAAGCAGGATGCTGATGGTGTGTAAAATATGTTCTGAGTAACTAATCTTGCTCACTCCATCAGCCAAGCCGGTGTGTAAATCAGATTGAGGAGATCTGCCGAACCATTGAAAAGACAATCAGCCAAACTGTCCAGCACATTCTCAATGCCCTGGAGCGGGACTGTCACCTCATCTGTGAGGCTACACAGCAGCTGCTACAGGATGACAGGTAAGAGCATGGCAGCATCGGTGGTGGAGATTCACCTGTGAGGTAAAGGCTAATATTCCTATGCAGGAGGATGGCATGGGTCAAAAGAGGCTTCATTGATTAAAGTGGGTCTACTCCAGTTGTGACTTACTATGAAAAAGTAACTCACAAATAGTATAAGCCAATTTGAATCAATGGAACATATAGAGTTGACTTACCAAATCTGAGTTGATTCAGTGGGTGTACCCTAGTGTTAGCTACTGCACTGAGCAACAAGATTTCAGCCAAAGTCTTCATTCTCAGGAGTCTACATTTTATTTCCCCTCTGCACTACCCCTACCCCGCAGTGAGGCCAGAAGCAGCAACATCCGTGCGCTGTTCCGAGGAACGCTGTTAGGGCTATTTGGCTGCCTGCTACCCATCTTTCTCCTTCTGACCTTGCTGTTTGGCACATCCTTTGCTCGCCAGCTGTGGTCTCTGCTTTTGGGAGAGGAACAAAACGAAGCATTACAGCTTTATGTGGTAGGTAGTTTTCTGGTCGTCATTCTTACTGTTTTGATTGGTATGACTTCTCATTTTTCTGCAGGGACCAAGATACCTCATTTTCCTGCTTTTTCTCACATTATTCTCCCCAATTAAGCCCCATTGGCTATTAAATAAAGTAAAATATCTGAATCCAAAGTGGAATTGAAGATTGACCGTTGTAGACGGACATGGTGTCATTTCCTTTCTTAGCTTTTAAAATTTCTCCATATAACTAGCAGCACAACTGAGCAACGCTTCCTTTTACCCTTCAATGATGTATTTCCCTTTTCAGAGTACAAGCCTCCCTGCAGGACTGTGTTTGTTACTTTTCATTTAGGTAGTGCCTTGCATTTAATTAATATAGTGTTTTAATTATAATTAAAATACTCATGCTTGTTTCACATAATGTGCGTAGCTCACTAAATTTAGCTTTTGTTAGTACAGAACGTGGGTTAATTCAGACAGCCATGCTTGAAATGTTTATTTTAATAAAACCTACTATGAAGTACAGAATATATATGTTCTGCTTACTTTACACAACCACACACCTGCACCACTTATATAAAGTAAAATAAACATACAAAAAAAAGCCAAATCCAAAAATATAATCTATATAACAAAACACCAGCTCTTAAATCAAGATGGGAGCAATGGACAAGATAAAGGATACAGAATATAATTATCAAAATAAAACTAAATGACTAATAATTATAAAGGGGGAATATCCTGAAATGCCTCTCTGAAAAGCGAAGTTTTAATGTGCTTCCTGAATATTAGGAGGAAAGGGGACAGCACACCTCCATAGGTAGACCATTTCATAAAGAGGTGGCCACTGCACAGAAGGGCCAGCACCTACTCATAAACTTCCTGGCCTCCCTCAGGGTGGCTACCCATTGCATCAGTGCCTGCAAGTGTCACAAGAACTTTATTTTAGGGAGAGGTCCCAAACCATTAGCAAGGTCCCAAACCATGTAGGGCTTTATAGGTCAGCATTAGTATCTTGATGGGACATGGTGGCGCTGTGGGCTAAACTGCAGAAGCCTGTGCTGCAGGGTCAGAAGACCAAGCAGTCATAAGATCAAATCCACATGACGGAGTGAACGCCCATCGCTTGTCCCAGCTCCCGCCAACCTAGCGGTTCGAAAGCATGCAAAGGCAAGTAGATCAATAGGGACCACCTCGGTGGGAAGGTAACAGCGTTCCGTGTCTAAGTCGCACTGGCCATGTGACCACGGAAGATTGTCTTCGGACAAAACGCTGGCTCTATGGCTTGGAAACGGGGATGAGCACCGCCCCCTAGAGTCGAACACGACTGGACAAAAATTGTCAAGGGGAACCTTTACCTTTACCTTTATTAGTATCTTGAATGTCATTTCTTATGTGAATTTTCAGAGCCCTCTTGCTACAGTCTGGAGTCTTGTCCCTGAAGAACAGACCTTAACAGTATTCTTTGGCCTTCTCTGCCTCTCAGCTCTCCTCCTGCTCTTGGCCAGTTACACTCTGAGGTAAGGAAGCTTCTTGGTTTCCTATTGAGGGCTCTCTGTGCAGATGGGACACCTGCCACACTTCTCCAGCACTTCTTTCCTGACTTCTCTGCATTTTGTGTCCAACTTAGGATGAAGCCTACCCTTTCTAAAAAGCAGAAGAGACAGCTGGAAGATCGAAGAAACTATGTGTTGGACGTGGTGCTGGAAAAAAAGGTTGATAGTGATAAGAATTTGGACATGGTGGGGAGACTCAGTACCTTTGTCAGAGGATCGTGGCTAGCAGCAGAGTTCATGATCCCTTTATGGGAGTTGGGGTAATGGGTCACTAAGTAGTATTTCCTGCTGTATAAAAGTGGTTGACCACTGTGTCACATTGTAAGTAATGCTGTTTTCTTCTGCAGCGACAACTCTATGAGGAATATCTTCATCAGAGCATTGGTGAACAAGACCTCAGCTGAGACTTCTTCCCCAGTGTATGCTGAGATACCACCAATCCCCCACCCCTGTGCCATACAGAAATCCTTCCCTTCTGAGTTGCTTGGGAAAAGAATGTGTCATACAACTGTGAACCTTCAAAGGGGCCAGTGTGATGCCTTCCACCCCAGTGTTCCCACATAGATCAACTCCTTGTATTTGATCAGATAGTGATGGCATCCTGTGATCTTTTGAACAGTGACTAACATGTAATGCACTATGTCTAACATGACAGTGATGTACTTCTTCAGTTCCTGCTATCCTCGCATCTAGTTCAACAGTGCCTCTACCCTCAGGAAGGTGCAACAGCAACCTTTCCTTTATCTTCTTTGCATTCAGGTCAACTGTGCTACTTACAATTTCCTAAATGATTGTACATCCATACCTCTTGAATAATACACAACTGTTGTGGGCCTGTAGTGACTGTTATTAGTGACATTCATAAGGGGCAAGCTTTTTCCCCCAGTAAGATGGTGTCTTCGTGACCCAGCTTCATGGCCCACATGTCCCCTTTTTGGCTGTAGTACCATCTCTGTGTCAATGTGTACCCCCCCATTCAGTCTCTGTCTGGTCAGTGTATACATTATTAGTTCCTGATTGCTAGGCCTTGGCCCAACTAATGGGACAAGTCCTGTTAATGAGGATGTGTTTGTGTTAAATGTAAACTTTGATGTTTTTACCATTTGAAGGACATACCTCATAACTCAGCCTCTGCATTAGAGTAGTAGATCTTTTGTCTCACAATAATAAGTGCCTTCTAGGGACACCAGTTCTTCCATGAAGCATGGAGGCATCTTTGTAAATACCACTGTCCCTTCCTCTGTTCTTACCTACACTGTGAAATCCCCCCCATTTCCACTTATGATCTGGTATAAGCTAGCATCTACAGTATTGTTACATGCTGGGAGACACATCCCTTCCCCTTCCTCCAGCACCAGGAAGTAATTTATACTGGAAGGAAATGCAACTTATTTGCATTCTTTGATTTGTATTTATATTCATAGATTTCATCTCTGTGCCTCAGAGATGACCAAGATGGTACCCAGCAATGATACTCAGTATATTTCATGTACTTTGCCTACTGAGATAACTGACTAGTAACAGTAATAGTTACTGTAGCTCATACTCTGAGGTGCTTTTAGAAGCTATTTGTAATCCAGGGGTGAGGAGGTCATGCCCTCCAGCTCCTACAACTCTTGATATCTCTGGCCATATTAATTATGGCTGATAAAAGTCATAGTCCAGTAAGGAAAATTGGAAGCCTCAAGTTTTCTCACTTACTCAAATCCTTTGCCTTAAAGAAAGGTTTGATTAATTTGTAGTCTATAATCACAAGGTGAGGTAGGCTTCATTTGAGCTTCTTTTTTAATTAAAGCCCTCATAGCTTGAAAAAGGTTTGCTTAGCCTATTGGATTATAGCTCCAATTTCCAAACCTGATTGCACTGGAAATAGTTTACCAGAGGATGCAAGTGTTTTGTTTACACCAAGAATGGGGACACTTTGGCTCTCCAGATGTTGGTTATGATGGCTGGTACTGATGGTAGCTGTAAATCCAAATGCCTGGTAGACCAAAGGTCCCCTGACCCTGCTTTACACCAGTTCCCAACAGCTCATATTAACAAGAAATAAGGTCAGTGACAACAAATGATGCCTATTAAAACCACTGGCTTTAAGGTTAACAGATTGCTGTTTTGTGAAAGCGAGAGAGCTAAAACTAAAACATGATGCACTGTTACTTAGCCCAATTAATTTTGGAGCTCTTTATGTTGGTTGGTCTACATGACTGCCTAAGTGATGAATGGGAGAATGGCCTACTTCTAGTAGTTATTTTATTTCTTAATATATGGTCCTTACTGTAGCTGTGACAGAACAGGCCTGATAAGGTCTCTATTTCTACACTATGCGCCAGCAAGTGCTGCCAGGAATTTGGGGTGGAATATTTAATAAAAGCTCATTGTAGAAACTGCCTTGTCACTTTTCTGTTCAGAATTTTCCTTCTGCCCTGAAGTCTGGCTGCTTCCCCTCCTGCTCTTAATTTTGTCTTTGCATATTGGCTCATGATCCAGCTCCAGTCAAATGAAACTCGCAAGAAAACGGTTAAGCTTTTATTTCAATCAGAAAAAGTGCACTGGCTTCAGAGTGTTGAATATATTGCTTTCCCAAGGCCAGATCTACTTTTAGAGCCCTGTCTTCACCACCACTGTAGGCACAACTGTGCTATGCATCTGCCACATGAGCTAATCAGTGGAAGAGTTTCATCTACCACGGCAGCATATTAAAATATTTAAGATGTTTTATTCCACCTTTTCTGTACGGTGGCAACTTACAATACAATTGAACAGCCAAAACCTTGCAGGACAGGCTTCGGAATGTTGTTTTCTATTCTGATCCCACATGTCATTTTATTTATTGTCATGATGGATGGCTAGTGACCATTTGCATCTTCCCATCATGTGTTTTGGAGGGAGCAGCAACCATCCTGACAGTCTGCCACATCTTGGTCACATCTGATGTGAGTGGCAAAGCTTTGTTCCTTCTTCCTTAAGGTAAGAACCACTGAGTTGCACGGCGTTCATCTATTTCCATAGCCACATCGACATTGCCATTGTGTCCAGAACCTGAGTAACATCACAAGACTCAGACCTAGGAAAAAAGGGGGGAAATATTGTTAACAATGTGGATTATTACCGTTGTTTCCCCAAAATACGACAGGGTCTTATATTAATTTTTGCTCAAAAAAAATGCATTAGGGCTTATTTTCAGGGGTTTTTTTCCATGTAGAACAATTACATTTATTCAAATATGGTCACGTTATCTTCTGGTTGTTGCACAAGGGTGGAGGGCGGGGTTTCACTTAACTAGGGCTTATTTTGGAGGTAGGGCTTATATTATGAGCATCCTGAAAAAACATACTAGAGCTTATTTTCAGGTTAGGTCTTATTTTCGGGGAAACTGTATATACTTGGGGAAGGGTGGTTTCCAAGTATTTCAGACCTATTGACTGAAATTTTGTTCATTCTGGCATAATGTAAGTTACACTAGAGGAAGCTTCCCAGGCAACCACCACTATGATCAGATTGCACAATCACATGGTTGCCATTATGACTGTTGTGTGGAAGTGCTTCATGAATAGCACTTCTAGCCTGCCACAATTTTCGTTATTGTTGCTGCAGTTTTACAATGCACACACAGCTGCACAACAGAATTTCAGTCATTGTCTAAAGCCCAACAGCTTCTCATTAGCAGAAGTGATCAGGCTGGCAGAATGAAAAGATATTCTATGCTTGTATTGCTGCTGTTCTCTTGTGAACTTTGTTGTCCATATCAGTGGTGTCCATTTTCATGTAAGTGGCAGCCATTTTGCTGAGCCCCACCAAAGACCTCATACCTTCCATTTTTTCATTGCTTGGCTGCTGTTCCCTTCCGCTTTTGCTCTGTGCGTTGGAGCTTCAGGACTATCTTACGTTCATGGCCACCGGGACTTGGACGGTTAGTGTGGTCTTCAGACTCTTTCTTGGAACGGCCTTTGCGGGAGGAGCCAGCTGGCAGGATCAAACAAAGAGTTCAACAACTTGACAAATTTACTCCCAAGTTGGAGTTATGTACTGTACAAATTGGTTTGTATATGCCATCTGTATCAATTGAATTTTACTCCTGTGCCTCTTAGTTTTACAGAGTTGCTGACACCATGACAGAAGAAAGAAGATCAAAGACAGGGATCCTTGAGGGATGGACCTCAAGACAACTTTGTCTTAGAACTTCTACCAAGCCTAGCCAATGACAAGGAATGATGGGATTTGCAATCCAGACCCATCTGGTTGGTCAAATTTGTCCACTCCTGATAGAAGGAAAACATGCCTCTTGGTCTTTCATCTTAACATATGCAAATATGGCTATTGTTGATGTCTAGATGCATGGCTCTCTGTAACAGTGGAATGTGTTGCTTGACAACTGCTCACCTAGAACAAACTGCTTCAAAGTTAGGTGACCTGCAATTTACATATTGATTTAATGCAATGTGCTTGAACTGCTTTTCTGCTCTTACAAGCGGGTTTTCTCCCTCTTCTTTCAATCTGGACTACAGTTTTGTCCTCTCAGCTTAATCTTCCTGGGGATCACACCTTGGAAAAATTTGGGCCTCATTAATGCTGTACATAGTTAGCAGATGCCAAGGCTCCTTCTGTCTCAGAAGTGCCCTGTATGACTCTCTTATGAGTTGCTCTGCTGCATTCGAAGACCCATGTAAGCTGTCCATCACCCCCATACTCTGTCCCGTATCCTACAAATTCTCATGTTAATTCCAGGATGCTTTCTTTGTATAATGAAGGTCTATTTTGCACTGCATGTTCCTTTTGAAATTTAACTGCCAGGGCTTGTCTCATCCAGACATGTTATCTGTATTGATATGGAAACGTTGATGGAAGCTGTGCACGACATACAGCATCATGCAAAAGGGAAAACGAATCTTGGGAGGTTTTGACCTAGAAGAGGGACAGCAGGAATGATGAGAAAATAATGGTGCTTAAGAATTTTGGACTGATTCTTGGCCTAAAGGAAGCCACAGGCTTGAGTT